GAAGTTTTTCAGTCTTTTCCATTTTAAAATAGTGATAAATACAAAAAGCCTTTTATTATTTATACCAGTGCCAAACTATATAAATGGGTAACTTAATGGATGATGTTGAGATAATGCACAAATAACCAGTGCTTGGAATCTCGTGATATAATGCATGTTTTCTATACTAATTTATGACTTTTCACCATCTCTTAACAGAAGCATCCCAACCTTCTGCTTTTAATATATGCAGTATGGATAAAATGTAAACATGGTTTTATAATGTATAAACTCTGCGGTTTGGGTTTTAAATAAAACGAAGTTCTATATTTGTTAGCTCAGAAATAAGCAGGGGAGGTTTTCATCAGCTGCTGTGTGCTTGATCCCACTCTGCTCACTGGTGATCGTTGCAGATGTGTAGGTATGCTGATTTAACACATTGGCTATTTTCATGTTGAATTATTACTGTCTTTTTAAGCATGGAGGAATGAGAAGGGGCAGGGGGAAGAGCTTGATTTCCCTCTGCAGTTTCTACTGGTTAAAAATTGCCAAGAAAAGAAACCTGGTAGAGGTAAACACATCTGTGACTGACTTGACTTGAGAATAGACCATGAAAAATTTGCTATTTTTTTCCAGTTGTCACAGGAATCAAAGCAGTTGCACTCAGGATGAGAGCAGCTCAAACAGTAGAGCTGTGAAGTGATCATGAAGATGTGGAAGAGTGTTTCTAGCAGATCTTTCCAGTGTGATGAAAGTTGGGTTAATATGGGAGAGAGGGTTGAGCGTCGCAGAGTGATGTTAGGAGGTGAACTAGCACTTGGAACTGCCTTAAATTCAGCCTGACAGGACTTAACCCAATTCTATTCATTGCTTTCACTTCTTTGAGATAGACTATTCCTGCATTTAAAATGGTTAAATGTCGGGGTGAAGTACAGGAGGTTGAGATGACTCTCGTTTAGGGTTTGATGCCCAAAACTTGCCACCATGAGGAGCTTTATGAACCAAAAGCCTGGCAATGTGTGGTGCTGGCAGCTGGCTCTTTAGTCCCAAGTTAGTCTAAGTGATTGGTGATTGGCAAGTTTAAGTTTAAATGTATGCACGTAGTTATAGAGTTGATATTATTAATGAGAAGTCTGTGCTAAAAGCTCTGTGCTTTTGTCACGGTATTGGGTGAATTGCCGGCAACCCCGACCCTTGCCTTTTCTGGCCGACAGTTTCTCCCATGGTTTGTTGTTTGCTGGACTGCAGCTTCAGGAGGGAGCGTTATTTCTCACCTCTGGGTGGTGTGTCGCACTTTGAACTATGGGACCGGCCGCTTTGAGAAATCTCCAAAGTCACTCCTTGCCACAACGTCACAGTGTCAGGATTCGCGGAGACG